ATAAGCCAGAGACACTTTTCCTACAGGTGACTTGGGTGACAGCTGGGCCCTTAACCATTCTGCAAGGCTGACCCCAAATCTGCCATGCAGGATTCCTTCCCACTCACCCATTGGTTCAACACATGCTTAGTGGCCGTGGCCTCTGATGCGGGCACCGTCCCCAAGCATTGTGCTAACTGCACAGACACAGTGGAGAGTAAGGAGGACACTGTCAATGCTTGCATGAGCTTGTAGTCCGTCAAGGCAGAGAGGCCAGAAATTAGAACATCATCACTTACACATGTGTGAAATTAATGAAGGGGAGAAAGCATGGGGAAACTGAGGATGGGAGCCAGCCCAATGCAGGGCTGGCATAGGACAGGAGAGGGAGCCAGGAGCTCTAGGTGTATTTAGGCACTGGAAAGCAGCCAAGGTGACTGGGGTCTGTGATCACAGGCACGCAGGTGAAGACACAGTAGACTGATCCAGGTCACGGGAGGCCTCAGGGCCAGCGTGGAGCATGTGGGGGCTGCACTTAGGCTCCTGGTAAGAGATCCTCCTTTCAGAGAGGCACTGGACAGCAAGTAGCATTTTGTGGCAGCTTTAATTGAAATCTGCAGGGGCTGTCTGTGCATGGCATGGCTGGTCTGAGAGGGGTTTGTACCCAGAGGAACTACTGTGACATCTGCACCTACTTGGTGGCTGCCACAGAATGCAGTCAGGAGCCACTGATCCAGAGGAATTCTGTGCCTCTTCTGGATGAGCCCTGAGACACATGCTTCTTCCCACTGCAGAGCACACCTGTGTGTTTTTTATGTGAGCTCGAGAGGTCACGTTGTGAGGGTCTTGTTACCAAGCAGCAAGGCTGGGTGGATGTGGAACAGAGGGATAGCTTGGACACGGACTGCAGGGTGTCTTGGGTGGGGAGTGGCACAGAGGATGCATGTGGCATGTGCCAGGACCAGCAGTGCAGCAGTGACGTGACCAGGGCCGGCTGCAGCAGTTGAGTCCTATGGGGTGAACCGTGTGGGAAGGAGGCATCCTCCTGGCTGCACTTGCATGCTCAAGCTGTGTCCCCAGTGCCCTCAGTTAACCCAGTCCTGAGGAGAGCACTGTGTGTCACAGACTGGTTACAATTATATCTCCCTGTTCTCCCAGCAGCTGTGTAAAGTACATATGACTCTCCAGGGAAACCTTACCAATGGCCTTCACTGCTGAGAAGCCTGAACAATAAAGAGC